TTATTATACCTATTATATTGTTTGTTACTTATAATATATTTAGGTTTTCTGACATAACATCAGGAATTTTATCTATTGGAAGTATCGTATAACGCGCCACCTCACATATTTATATTCTTAAAAATGTAAAGTACCTACGGAAATAAAAAAATATATTTTGATTTATGATATTAATAATTAATAAGTTATTATAATAGTTAATATATTATTAATTATTATAGGATTTTAAGTATATTTTAACAAATTACGCTAAATTCGCGTATTTTGCCCGGTTCCAGCTACACTGCCCTTGCGTGCTTTATTATTTAATATTTACCATGTTTTCAGGAAGAATTTGCATTTTCATTTAAAGCTTTAACGACTAAAATATTAATACTAATAGGTATTACGTTTATAATCAAAAGCCTATAGGCTTTTGATTATAAACGTATATATATATATATATATATATATATATATATATATATATATATATATATATATATATATATATATATATGTGGTAATTGTGTCTAAAGTCAACGGCGCGCCGATATCATTTAAACATGTTTTCATGTCTGCTGGTGGTTGTCACCACCAGCCGACATGGAAATAATCGTTTTGCCGACGTCGAACCACCTTAATGCCACCGATTAAAGTCTTAAGGCCCAAAATATATACATACGTAAAACGTTTTACCCGCAAACATCTGCTTTTATCCGGGAACATATGATTTTACTAGCGAACGTCTGCTTTCATATGGTTTCACCCGTAAACATATGCTTTTATCTGCGAACGCTTGATTTTATCCTGTGCAGTGCAGCCCCGCAATCATCTGCTTTTGACCTACTGCATTTCGTTTATACCTATCTGCATTTATCCGGGTTCATCGAGTATTTTCAAACAAATTTCATACAAATTAAATATGTGATAATTCCAAATGTATTTGAAATTAAACATATATTTTTTTCTAACAATTAATTTGAATGTAAACTTAATGTCTTTTAACAAAGACCTTATTTGTATTTTATCAAATAATATTGAAGTTCAATAAACTAATTTCTTTTACAGGTTGTTTTTATTCAAATAATTCCTTTTAAAGTTATAAAGTTTTGTGCCGTGAACGGCTAACAACCAGTTAGTTAAAGCTCAGTAAAATTTGACACAGCCGGTAAATTAAACTAAAGAATACCCAAGAAGACGTAAGGAAAACAAAAAGCGCGAATGAAACCAGACGTTTGCGTACGAAACAGGACGGAAAAGCAGATCTTCGCGGATAAAAGCAGATGTTTGAGGATTAAAACAGATGTTTGCGGATAAAAGCAGACATTTACAGATAAAAGCAGATCTTCGCGTATAAAAGCAGATGTTTGCGGAGAAAAGCATATGTTTGCGGATTAAAGCAGATGTTTGCGGATTAAAGTAGACGTTCGCGGATAAATGCAGATGTTTGCGGATAAAGGCAGATGTTTGCGGGTTAAAACAGATGTTTGTTGATTAGAGCAGACGTTCACAGATGAAGCAGACGTTTGCGGATTAAAATAAATGTTGGCGGATGAAATCAGACGTTCGCAGATGAAAGCAGATGATTGCAAGTGAAACTGGATGTAAGCAGGCAAAGAAGTAAATGAAGGCAAACGCAGATAAAACCGGGTGAATGCAGATATAAACCCAAATACAGGTATTTGCGGATGAAACCAGATGAAAGCCGACATAGATAAAATTGTTGATTGTTTCGACCTTTACTTTATGAAACTCCATATTATTAATATATGAATAAAAACAACACTGTTTTAAAGTTTCACTAATTTATTAATGATTTTAATGATTAACAATTGTTTCGCTACACAGTAGCTTCTTCAGAATTGGTGTATTCTGGCACTTGTTGTAAAACCAAATGTTTTGGTTGGTAATTTTGCTTCTTAATAAAAGTTTAAAATACCATAGGGTCAAAAAACTTGTAACTTTTTGTTTTAAATTGTTGATTGTTTCGACCTTTACTTGATGAAACTCCATTTTATTAATATATGAATAAAAACAGCACTGTTTTAAAGTTTCACTAATTTATTGATGATTTTAATGATTAACAAATGTTTCGCTACACAGTAGCTTCTGAAGAATTCTGAGGAGCTACTGTGTAGCGAAACAATTGTTAATCATTAAAATCATCAATAAATTAGTGAAACTTTAAAACAGTGTTGTTTTTATTCATATATTAAAAATAGATAAAACCCGACGTTCGCGGATAATATTTATACCCGCAATTGCAGACATGCCGGGTAAAATAGATATGTCGGATGAAAACAGATATAAATGAACATAAAACTAGCTTGTTTTTTTATCCGCAATTATCCGATATTACCCGTCTTTCTCAGCAGGGCGGGATTATTTTTGGGTGGCAATTTAAATATATGTAGAAGTGAAGATTCTACTTTTAAAGTATCCTAGTTTCGGGTGATAACATTGTTGGGGTTGATTTGTCAAAGAATATTTATTTAATTTATTTTTGTGTTTGTGGATTTGCCAACAGACTGAATTAAAGACTATAAAACCGATTTTCTTTTAAGGTAATTGTAACATTGTATTATTATTTTGTTTGTTTTAATAAAATGTGTTTTTTTAAGGAGAAACAACGATCTATAGTCATTTCATTTTAATCTATCCTGTAATCCAACTTCAAATGTCAAAAATCGGTTTGTCGACATACGTCTGAGGCGACTATACAAAGAAAAGAGCTAATTGTAATGTCTATGCTTGGTTTAGAAATTAATGACGCAACGGAAAAAATTCGCCGCGACGACTATATGAACCCTCTCCACGCGAGTTCGACTCGCACTTTTCAACCTTTGTCAAAATTTGAAATCATTGGCTATTGAATATTGAGTATGAGTATGGGAACGTATGGCAGGCCCCAAATATATTATCCTCCACTGATCTCCCGGGTTATTTTACCCCCTTTCCGTTCTCCTGCGTATCCCGCCAAATTACAGCATTACCTGTGTTTGTTGGATCCGAAGTTTTTACGCCGGCTGGTAGATCCACCCTAGGAGGTCGTGGATGACAGTGTCAAAGGTTAAGGCCGCTCCCGGATTTTTGTCAGCCGGGTCGGGCCATACGTCCAGTTTAGGAAGGGTTTTTGGAGGACATTGAACTGACCCAAAACTAAGTACAATCCGGAATCCTCCGCAACCTGGGACTTAGTAATAACCCCATTCAATTGTTATTCATGAATGGGGGTGGAAGTTTTAGTACGCTGCTAGAACCTGTCCTTGTTGGTGTATTTCTAAACATCTCTGTCCGAGTCAGTATCAGGTTCCTGGTAACCTCTTTAGAATTGTTTGCCCCCTGTGTGATACTGAGTCTTGTTTTCCGTACCGAAGTGTTGGCGGCCAAGACACACCGTAAGTGCCCTCCGCCTTGGTGGATATTCCTCCTGCCGAGTGCCGGCTACCAACCTTGTATATTCTTTATTTCTTTTATTGTTAAATTGGTGTTTATACCGATTTCATTTAATTTATATCTTTGTATTCTTACTTTTTTTTTCAAATTTAATTTAAAAATATAAATATTAATATACAAAATAGATAAAGCCGGCCCTGTGGTGTACGCATTTGGCTATTGAGAGGCTCTTCTTATCTTCTGTGATGTTCTTGCATTCCTGAGCTTATTTGGCTATGATTTATGGCTAGTCTTAAATGCATACAATATTAAATATTAACACACAACACTTAATTATGATCTAAATTTTTTGTCATCTTGCTTGATTTGGTTTATTTACTCTTACGCCCCTTTCATTTGGTTAAGCTGTTTATGGTTTGTTTACTCTGAGAAAATGAGGTTGTTATTTTAACTTACGGAAGTGTTATCTTATTATTATTTTAAATTTAGTTTAGACGATTAAAAAGAAATCTTAGACAAACAATCAGAGTGCTTATATTAGAGATTTTTCATAATTTACTGTCTGTATTGAATTCTTTGTACATTTTTGTAGTAGTAAAAATGTATATTCAAACTGTACGAGTTTAATTTAAAGACTGTAGGTATCATCGACTTTTAAATAAACAGTTATGCGCATTGGGCGTATTGAATGTACCCAAAACTGTTCATTTAATTAAAACTTAAAATAGATCACTTTTCTCAGTGTAGGGACCTGTTTAATTTCTGAAGCCAGATGACATTCTTGGCAACCTCGCGAATTTGCGAATGTAAACATTTTTAATTTAAATTATATCAGAATCGAATTGGTGTTGTTAGGTCATGCAATTAGGAAAATTACTTAGCTGAACTAGTTAGATTCTGCCTTCCTATCCCTAGCGGACAGACCGCGTTCCTTGGCCCTGCTGATTGTGATGACCATACAGGTGATAAGGCATTTCATCGGAGTGACCCAACCTTATTCACTCACTCTCACATAAACCTCCACGACGCTACTGCACTTTGTGACTTAGCCGAAGACCCCCTGCACTTTTCGAACAGTATTATTTCTTTTCTTTTAGCACTTGGATCCGTTATCACGTGCAGAATCGACATTGATTCCTTTTTGTTACTTGAACTTTAGCGGCGACGGCTCTGAGTGGCCCTAGGCTCTGATTTCGCACTTAAGTTGCCTAATAAACTTAAATGCGCTGTGTGCGCTTTAGTTTTGAAAAGAGATCTCGCGCGCGTCCTCTCTATACGGTGCGTCAAGTGGTACTGGCTATTGAATATTATAACATGATAAAATTAAAACAATTCTGAATCGACGGATTTGTCTTGCGTGAGAAACTATGAACCGATAAATATTTGCATATGCACTCATTGTCAAATTCATTTTATTATGTGATAAAAGTAAAATAATAATTAAAATAAACAATTCGCTGTTTTTTCTCCCTTCCGCATTTAATAAACATACCAATTGATAATTACTTCAATCAGCGTAGATGGAAACTGTTCAGCTATTTTTTCAGTCAATATCTGGTTTATATTTTTTTTAAATTTTGTTATAAGAAAATTCTTACTTATAGCATTGTAATTATTTTTAGGACGAATCCAATTTGTATTTGGTTATGGATTATTACTGCGGTGGAGACTTATTAACACTATTAAGCAAATTTGAAGATCGCATTCCTGAAGATATGGCAAGATTTTATATAGCCGAAATGGTTTTGGCAATAAACTCAATACATAATCTTCGATATGTCCACAGGTAATAATTATTTAACGAACACTGTGTGTTCAGGCTTTATGCTGTTTATTTAAGGGATATAAAACCAGACAATGTTTTATTGGATGCAAATGGCCATATTAGATTGGCAGATTTTGGAAGTTGTCTAAAATTAAGTTTAGATGGGACAGTCCAATCAAATGTAGCAGTAGGAACCCCGGACTATATTTCACCAGAAATTTTAAGGGTATTTTACAAAAATTAAAGTAAGAATAAAGACTTATTTTATTTCATTTTAGGCAATGGAAGACGGTCAAGGAAGATATGGACCTGAATGTGATTGGTGGTCTTTAGGTACGAATAAATCTCGGGCGGATATTTATACTTATTCATTTATTAAATATACGTATATTGGGTTGGTTTAAAATGCACATTATATAATATATTATTATAGGGTGTTTCTTAAGGACGTGCTAATTAGGGATTGCATTTGCTACATCACTCATCCAGCACTCCAGCTGGATTCAGCGCATTTTTCAGCCTGCTGGATGCAGCACTGCGGATCCGCAAATAATTAACTTTCCAAATAATAGGTTTAATTGTATAATCCATTTTAGCAGTGGGATTTTAATATTGTAAATAAAATTAAATTAGGCACTTCCCTGCTGAAATTTTTTATTTTAATAACCGACCGGTTATAATTTTTATAATATTGACGTGTAAGTAATGTTTTAAGTCTTTATAATATCATAAATCTTTATACCATTCTTTTAGAAACTCTGAAGATGCCGTAAGGCGAAACCGGTCGGTTATTAAAATAAAAATGTACATGCCTAATTTAATTTTATATACAATATTTTCAAATAATGGCGAAAAAGTCTACGTTGACAGCGTTTCCGCTTTACCAGGTGCGCTAACGCACAAACATCCTCGGCGGGAGCGACCTTGCTACACCCCTTTCTACACCGCTTTTCGCTCTCGCTTGATAAAATTTCATGGTAAATAAGTGTCCTCTTGGCACCGCTGTACGGTGGGCTGGGCCTGGCCAAAAGTACAATAAGTCAACTTTATCTGATCCAAAAAAATAATACACCAATGTAAATAAAAGATTCCGATAGATAAAGTTAAAAAACATTTTATTTAAAAAAGAGACAGCTGTTTAAAGTGAAGCAATACGGAAAAAATTCAGATTTTAGATTTGAACGGAATTTTCTCTACCTTTAAGGCGCTGTTACTTCTTATACATAACAAAAATATGTATGTAAAAAATGTGGTTTAAATTAAAGATGTATGTAATACGATATTGTATGTTTGGTACAATTATTTTAATAATTGTACTTATAAAGTTATGTTGAATAATATAATACCTTGTAAAATCATAAAATTTTACACTTAACTATAGATAAGTTATGCGGTCCAATTTGGTCCAGAAAAATGTATACACCAAATTGTAGCCCAAAGAATAACGAATAAATCTCGAGCGGATATTTATCCTTATTCATTTATTAAATATATATTGGGTTGGTTGTAAATGCACATTATATAATATGTTATTATAGGGTGTTTCTTAACCTTGTAGTAGTGGCGCCTTATATTTAACATTGCTAGTGGCGCCCGGCCTGTGAGGCCCGTAAATTTAAAAAAATCATATTTATGCTAGTATTTTTTCTTTGTGAATTTTTTACTTTTAATTTATTACTTAATCCTATTGTGACCAACGTCACTGATTTTTTTAACAAAAAAACCTCATATGTTTGAAATATGGGGTTAATTTTATGGGGACAGGATTATAAGGTGACATAATATTATTTTACAAAAAACTAAATATAAAATATATTCTACCAAAAAAACAACAAGTGGTTTATAAGCTTAAATAACAAAATATCGTATTAAACGTGGTTTTGACTTTTTTTCATTCAATTATGACACATAGATTTGGCATGGGTCATACATAGAAATTTTTGGCTATGAAGTGTTTGCTCCATCTGTCTATGCGACATTCTGCAAACCTTTTTCTGGTCCCAGGGAAAATTAGTTGAGGTTTAACATTATCGGCAGAAGTCCCAGCTACTTCTTGTCGCCTTTGACGTACCTCAGTTGGTAAATTTTGTTCCATAGTACGGCGTTTCAAATGCTTCTACTAGGACATAGCGACGTTCTTCAAGAGCCTTCGCATTAATAATTTGAATTATTGCAGTGTGTATTACTTGGGCATTTATTCCAGCCACATTCATTAGCCCATAAAATATTACCATATTTGATAAAATAAAGTAAAAAATATGCTAAATAATTAATATACCACAAAATAGTCGTATAGCATAAATGGTGGCGCCCGGCCTTTCAGGCCGTTTTAGGTTATAACTTTTTAAGTTTGAACTATAAGTAAATAAACATTGCACTACACTTTTCTACGCAAAAAGTTAGGAAGGTACTGAAAAATACAGAGTTGTCTCTTAATTATTTTCATAATGATCCGCTAAATAAGATCGCTTGGGCCTGTTAGGCCGTGCGCCACCAGTAAAAGGTTAAGGACGTGCTAATTAGGGATTGCATTTGCTGCATCACTCATCCAGCTGGATTCAGCGCATTTTTCAGCCTGCTGGATCCAGCACTGCGGATCCGCAAATAATTAACTTTCCAAATTGTATAATCAATCCATTTTAGCAGTGGGATTTTAATATTGTAAATAAAATTAAATTAGGCACTTCCCTGCTGAAATTTTTTATTTTAATAACCGACCGGTTATAATTTTTATAATATTGACGTATAAGTAATGTTTTAAGTCTTTATAATATCATAAATCTTTATACCATTCTTTTGGAAACTCTAAAGATGCAGTAAGGCGAACCGGTCGGTTATTAAAATAAAAATGTACATGCCTAATTTAATTTTATATACAATATTGATTATTGCCGCTGTAGTACGAAATTTCTAACAATTTTTTTTAGTTATTGTGTTGCCCAAGCACGTTTTGTGGTAGTGTTTTGTCTTTTTTCTTAAATTCCAAAATTAGGTATTGCAATTATTTATTAGTTAAACAAATGTCAAGCGCAATTATTCTGTTATATCTAATGTGTTTACAAATCCATTCGAGTTTGATTATTATGCTGTTTTTACTATGTTAGGGTAATAATAATTTATTGAGTGTTAGTTTATCTGTGTGTTAAATGTTTATTATTGGTCTCGTTTGGGTTTCATGCGTTACGCATTTGTTGACAGATTTATTGTCCTACACAGCTTTGGTGTATCACCGCGATAGTTCGATTGGAAAGTTTTTTTTTTATTTTTTGTCTTTTTTCTTTATTATTTATGGAGTTTGGTTAGTATTGTCTTTCTAATGTTTCTATTGTTACTGAAGTTTATTGTTTTTTTCCCTAGAGTTTAAGCAGTGTGCCTTTCTTAGGGTTTTAAAGATATCTGTCATGTTTAATTGCAAATTTTGTTAGGTCATGCATATGCTAAAGGATACTTATCAATTTTTTGCGGATGGCCACTTCCCCTCTTGTTTGTCTAGTGAAAAGCGTCCAATGACAGGTGGTATACCTATAGGACCAGAAGCTGAAACTTGTCATTTAACTCTTTCATATCACTTAACACTTCACTCTTTATTGACCGTTACACTATTTTAATTTGCACTTTATGAAAATTTTTTGTTTCACTATAATTGGTTTGCACTTAAAAAAAATATATTTGTAGGTTTTAAACTTTAAACTTTTACGTTTTAAGAGCTCTCGCTGCACTACGCGTCATGCCTTGTCAAGAGCTGGAACCTGACTGGGGGTTTAAAAGAGGATAAATGTTCTAAAAATTGAAATATATTAAATATTAAGTTTTTCAGTCCTGTAAAAATAATATTTATTACTTATTTATTTATTTAGATTTACATATTACCGTTTACTAGTAAGCTAACTAATTTGTCAAAAAAACCTATATTAAAAATGAACAAAACATGAAAATTGGTAAAATTAATGTTTTAAATAAAAAAAAAGTATTTATGAAACATTTTGTTATCAATATCAATAAATTAAATTAATTAATTTAATTGCTCTCTAATTAAAATTTTATTTCATTTATTTTTTATTTTTTTTATAAATTCGTACCTATTTTAGGTTTTTTAATTAAAATAAAAGTAATAATAAAAGTTTTTTAAGTATTAAAAAAATTCTTTAATTTTTTTTTAAATTTTCTATAAAAAACTTAAGTTGCTGGATCCGCGCTGGATCCAGCTGGATTGATGTTGATCCCGAAAAAATCCAGCTGGATTAAAAACCCTGCTGGATTGCAATCCCTAGTGCTAATATTTTGTGGTGCGATTTCTTAGCTCATTTTGGGAAGAAGAGTTCTTAAAACATATCTTAAACTTCATATTTTTTGTCACAGGGTTTTGAACAAATGGTTTTTAAAGTCTTATTTTTTAATATCTGCAAAAGTACTTTAGATTTTATTTCCAATTTTTATATGTACCTATTTATAAAATGTAAAACTGAATATTTTAGTTATAAAAATTATTCTATTTCTTTATCAGTCAGATTCCTGCAAACAAAAAAGTGGTACGCCATTGATATTTTTCAATTCTACTTGTATAAAAACGGGGGGCACTCCTTTTTCCCTCCCAATTGTCACCCCCTTGCTATTTTTAAAAATTGTTTATATTTTTGAATTCTACGTTCAATTTAAAAAAGTTACCCTTTGAAAATTGGGATTGGACTGAATTCATGTTTTTAAGAAATAATATTTTTGGCCCATTGCATTTAAATTACTATTGCAATGTTCCCTGTCCTTTATTATTAAAAATGTAACATAATAACTTTATCCAATGAAGTTTAAATAATTTATTGTAATGCCTGTCATTTTAGAATATATAAATATTTTAATTAAATGCATAGATATAACAAAAAAGTATGGTTCGAGCGCTGTAAGTTTGATACCGCAACATTATCGCTCGACAACGGTGGGCAAGGCATGGCTGATGACGTTGCGGTTTTAAACTTAGAGCGTTCGAACTGTAGTAGTAAACTAATTTTTTATAATCTGTTTATGGAGTGGTTAAAAAAACCTTTACAAGTATAACTAAATCAAACCAATGACCAAACCACAAGTATTTGATATCATTAAAAAGCTCTTGATGCAAGCTATTATTTAACAAAATACAGGTACATCTGAAGCGGCAATATCACCACTACACAGGCACACAAACATTATAAACACAAGCAAAATCATAAAACATTTTTATTATAACTACGTGACAAAAATGTACGCTGGACTGTCGAGGCCCAGATTTAATCCTACCATTAATAACATTTTCAACAGACAACCTTTATAACAGAATTTTTATCCAAAATTCTCTCCAAATT